AGCCCCTCATTTCCCCCTTCCCTTCCTCATCAGAGCCCCTCATTTCCCCCAGTTCCTCCTTCAGATCTCTGATGTCCTGCTATTCCTCTCTTTTTCTTTAATTGTTGATATGGGTGTGTGTATATTTCTACAAGTAAATTTTTAAATTTTATTTTATGCATATCACATAAAATTTATTTTATGTTTGGCCTGCATATATGTACTACACACATACAGTGCCTGTGGCGGTCAGAAGAGGGTATCCAATCCCTTGGAGCTGACATTACAGAAGGTTGTGAACCATCACATGTGTGCTGGGAATCAAACCCAGGTTCCCTGGGCGAGCAGCCGGTTCTCCTAACTGCTGAGCCATCTCTCTAGTCTCCCTGCATCTCATGTGGGACCCGGTGAGGAAATAGACTGGGAGGGTGAGGTTACTTGTTTAAGGTCACGTGGCCAGTAGATGAGAAGTTAATGGCCATCTGAGCAAACCCACTCATAGGAAGTGGGCATTTTGTGATGATTATAGTGTCTGAAAAGGGAGGAAAGCCTTCAAAGGCTTGAGCCAGCTAAATAGCCCGTCTGTGATTTCATTGCTTTTAAGTTTCTGTAGGTGGTTTCCTTTTGAGATGGAGTCTCCCTCTACAGCCTTGGCTGGTCTGAAACTTGCTATGTAGATTATACTGGCCCTGAGTTCATAGAGGTCTGCCTGCCTCTGCCACTGAGAATGCTGGGATTAAAGCTGTATGCCTATCTCTACTGGTTGTAATTTAGTAAGACTTTTCAAAGATGGTAACATTTTTGTAATGATAAGATAAATGAAGGGAAAAAAAGATGCTGATATTATTATTTTAATTTTTTCATTTTGTGTGTGTGTGTTTGCAATGCACATGCATGTGTGTACAATTATATATATATAATTGAATAATACAATTATATATATAATTATATATATAATTGAATATATATATTTGAAGGATACAACTGTATAACATATATATATATATATATATATATATATATATATATATATATATATGCCAAAAGTCAACACTGGATGTTGCTGTCTTCCTTAATCCCTTCTCCATTGTCTGTATTTCTCTCTCTCTTTCTCTCTCATTCTTTCTTTCATTCTTTTAGCTTTATTAGTGTTTTGCCCGGCTGTATGTCTGTATGAAGGTGTCAGATTCCCCGGACTGGAGTTACAAATAGATGGTGAACTGCCGTGTGGGTGCTGGGAATTGAACCCAGGTCCTCTGAAATAACAGCCAGTGTTCTTAACTGCCAAGTCATCTCTTCAGCCCCTCCATCTTATTTCTTCAAACTGGGTCTTTCACTAAACTTCGAGATTGCAGTGCAGTTAGACTAGCTGGCCAACAAGCCCTGGGATCCCCTGTCTGCCTCCTCAGTGCTGAGGTTATAGGTCCAATGTCTTGCCTGGCTTTTATGTGGTTGTAGCTGGGGAGCTGGGTTCAGGCCCTCATGCTTGCACTTGCACAGCCACTGAGCCAGCTCCCCAGACCTCTATTTTTTTCCTGTTTTTAATATTACTAATTCATATTTCTCCCTCTCCCTCCTGCATCTTTCTCTCTGTCTCTCTATCTCTGTCTCTGTGTGTGTGCGTGTGCGTGTGTGTGTGTAAACCAGAGAACAGCTTGTAGGAGTCAGTTGTCTCCTCCAACCAGATGGATTTAATCATATAATCAGGTTTGCTGGCAAATGCTTTTACTAACAGAATCATTTCCCTGGCTCTGTTTTTGAGACAAAGATCCCATGCTATAGCCAAGGATAGCTCATAACATATGTAGCCTAGGCTGACTTCAAACTCCTATTAATCATTCTACCTCAGTCTCCTGGGCCACTGGGATTATAGTTATGAGCATTTGGCTCTGATAGCCATTTTGAATTATTAGATCAACAGTATTTTGTTTTTTGTTTTTGTTTTTGTTTTGTTTTGTTTTGTTTTTGAGACAACAGGGTTTCACTATGTAGCTCAGGTTGTCTTGAAATTTACTATGTAGACCAAGCTGGCCCCTGAACTCATGGAGATCCGATTCCTTTTGCCCCCTAAATCATAGGATTAAGGTGTTGTGTGTAGTTTTAAAAATCACACTACCCGCTCTGCCCAGGAGCTGCTGTGCTCTGGCCCCTCTTGGTTCCCTTCCATTCCACCCGGCTTGTTTCCAGGATCAGCCACCGCCAGCTCTCACCTGGCTTCCTTTTCTACCCACCTTATGCTCTGGGAGTTGACTGCTCCACCAGCCTACTCCCAAGACCCTTGCTCCAGGAGGGGTTGCATTGCCATCCCCACCCAAGACCCTTGAATCCGTGGATAAAGGACACACACTCAGCTTGTCACTTTACAGCTTGTCTTTCATGGCACAATTGCTGGCACAGATACCTCCTGCCTGGAAAGGTGTGCCTTACCAATTTATAATCTCTGTCATCAAACATCTTTGGCCACCCACCCATAGCAGAGGCCAAAGGCTCCAGCTGCCCCAAAATCTTACATGATTGTTGTGTGCCTCTCGTTCCAAAGGATGGCAGAAAAAAAGCCCCTCTCTTTTTCCCTGCATCTCCTTTTTTTCTCTTGGGACCTGGAAACCCACCTGTACCTTCTGTCCAGCAATTGGCCCATGGCCTTCTTCATTGACAAGTTAAGAACCAATTGGGGAACAAGACGTTAGTGACAGACCTCCCCCCTCTCTGTACATTAAGGTGTGCCCCACCCCATCCAGCATTAATCATTTGTGTTTGTTTGTTTCAAGACAGGGTTTCTCTATGTAGCCTAGCTGTCTGAATTCACTCTGTAGATTGGTCTAGCCTCGAGATCCACTAGCCTCTGCTACCCATGTGCTGGGATTAAAGGTGTGTGCCACCATCTGGCTTGTTTTGGTTTCTCCAGACAGTGTTTCTCTGTGTAACTCTGGCTGTCCTGGAACTGTCTCTATAGGCCAGGCTGACCTCAAACTCAGAGGTCTCTCTGCCTCTGTCCAAGCACTGGGACTAAAGGCGTGCACTACAACCGCCTGGCATTAAGCAAGCTTTCAAATGTCTGTAAAGTCTTTGTTGTAGTTACTGAGACAGACTTGTCATTTTCCAGATGAGACGGAGGCTGATCGGGTAAGTCTCGTGTCACTTGACATGACAGTTTAGCAGGGCTTTGAAGGCAGCTCCTCAGACTCGCCATCTGAGCTCATGGTATCTTTATGCTTGATTATTTTTCAATTCTTTGCTTTTTCTGTGAATCCATTTCCTTATATGGATTTGATAGATAGTCTATGATTTTATTTTAAATTGGAATCTGGACTGCATGACTGTCTAATGTATAAAAATAATAACCCCTACATGTGTGGCTGCTAATTCTCCAGAGGACTAGAATACTGCAAGATTGGATTTTGTCTTAACTGTTTATAGCTGTGAATGTGGCAGATGAGTCCCTATGGGACGAAGCCGTCTGTACCTTGACAGGTTGTCAGCATCCACAATGCTGGGCATCACTTCGACGGATTGAGAGGGGCCATCCTAGGATCCTGGACACATCCCCCAAATCTCCCCAAGAGCCTGAAGGTGTGTTAGCTAACTTCTGTCTTCTCCTCCACCAAGTCCCTGTGCTGTTTCTGTTTGGTTTCTTTTTTCCAAGCAGCAGGTTACAAGTTTTGCTCTGGTTTGCTTTCTCAGATAAACTCCCGACACTCACTGTTGTAAATATCATGGATACCTGCTTGTGGACCAAGAAGAGGGTGGTTCAGGGACAACCATCAGAATTTACCTTCCTCAAGGATCGTTTTCCATTGTCGAAACCAACTTCCAAACGTCAGAGCAGGTCAATTACCGTGGAATCTTTCCTTAGAAACTGTGTCTCCAAATCCCAGGTCTGCACTTCTCTTATCCACTCAGATGACTCTGAGAAGGCTACGTTTAAAGGAACATACTAAGGACTGGGGATAGAGTTTAGCATGCAGGAGGCTTTGGGTTTGATCTCTAGTACCATTAAAGACAGAGCAGCCAAATGTAACCTATCCAAAATTAAGTCAGTAGTAAATGGGGAGGGGGAACCCAAGAGGAAACTGCCAACAAGTGTTCCACGGGTAGGGTAGTTTGGAGCCTCGTTGGTTTGTCATTGTGAAGTACTGTTGCCTGGGTGATATAATTAGTGAAATTTATTGTCACAGAATTCTGAATTCTGTTTGAAATCAAGAGTCAGAAAGTTATTTCTTTCTGGGCCCCTCTCCTAGGAGATGGCATCATGTCCCTCAGTCTTCTCGTGGCCCTTGCTCTTGGTGTGTCTGCACCCTAATCTCCTGTTATAAACACACTAGTGCTATTGGGTAAGGACCCACCCACAGGACCTCATCCGACCTTAGTTATCTCTCTAAAGATTCTGTCTCCAAATATGGTCACAATCTGAAGTACTGGGCTTAGGAACTCAGCAAATGAATTTTTTAAGTGTCAGGACACAACTTAGCTACTAATAGGACAATCTTGTCGTCCTCTGAAGGTCAGCAGAGAGCAGCGTCCACAAGCCTGCCTGCCTGCCCCCAGCCCTCTTTTCTTGACAAGGTCTCTTCATAATCCCCACTGTCCTGAAACTCACTAAGAAGACTAGGCTGGTCCTGAACTCAGAGATCTACTTGTTTCTGCCTCCTAAGTGCTGGGATTAAAGGCATGAACCACCGTGCCTGGGTCATGCTGTCATTCTTTTTTTTTTTTTTTTTTAAGTTTTAGATATGAAACTACTTGTAAGCTTCTAGGGTTTTTGTTTAATCTCTTGCAGAGTCCAGCAGTCTAGGGGACCCAGTTTTGCTGAAACATGAAATTGCAGTGCAAGTGTCTGTGGAAGCGTCAGCATTTGAAATTCAAAGACCTTGCTGCTCAGAGTCCAAGCACAGTGGCCACCTTCTAAGTGATTTCCTTTCTCTAGTCAATGTAAGCAAGCTGGTAGTTTTCTTAGGCTTAAGGTAGACTCTCTGATTCACTAGGACCTGAGCCCTGGGCAAACATCATCCACATCCAGCCGAGACCTCGGCCCCACTGGGCCCCACATCTGCACACAGGCACAGAGTACATTTCTGCTCTTGCCAGGTTCCATGTGCCAGCACTGCAGAGAGCCCCCTTACCCGTCCGTCAGCTCCTGTTGCATCTGGTTTCCTTCTGTGTTCTTGCTGTCCGCCTCAGCCTTTGTCCTAGATTATTCCCACAGGACTTTGTGTGAGCTTCTGCTTGCCTGTCTCTCCTCCAACACTTTTACATTCTGACCAGCAGATTAAGCGTCTGGGAATAATGCTCCACCCATCTTCTCACTCAATCTATTCCTTCTAATTTGCTCACTATGGAGTTGTAGCCCACTGAAGAGACTCCAATCAGCTGACAAAAATGGCCCTGGCAGGCCTTGCTCTTCTCCCCTTTTCCCTCTGCATTGCTAAAATATCCATCAGATTATATTCCTAAAGTTAGCCATCAAGGTTCCCTTACTTAGCCACTTGCTCTTCCTGAGGCTGACTGCCAAGGCACAGCTATCAGAGTATTGAAGCCCAGCAAACAGAAGCTCCCTTTGGTTCATCTAAACATGCTCAGTAACACACCTCACCCCAACAGGACGCTCCCCCCTTTACCTTTATAAACAGCCATTTTCCTGGGTGCCACTGTAGTGAAAATTTTTGTTTCTTTAAAAACACAGAAATATTATAAGAAAGTGTTCTCATTTTAATCCCAGGTATGGGATATGGGCTGCTTCAGACTGTCCACAGCAGCTGACTATGATTTGCCTTGTCCTCTAGCAGGGATGTGATTTTGCCAGCTCCAGAGATTTTATGCAAGTATGTGATGTTTGGAATTCTGGGGACTTTTCAGAGGCTATATAAATGCTAGAGCCCTGACAGAGGTGGCTGGTTGGCTGGTTAGTGGTTGGAAGCAATTTGTTGTAGTTGTATGCAAAGAGATGAGAAGAAGAAATTAGAATCCTGATGGCAAAGATCAAACTTGCCCCAAGAAACTCAATGCCCCTGATCAGCGGGAAATAATCTAATGATACCGTTGCCCCCTCTCCCCTCTATCCTTTTTTCTCTTCTTCCTAGTTTTAGGATGTTGGAAGGGAAGAAGATGAGTGGAAAAGGGTAGAAGAAAAAGGAACCCACAAAGTAGCCAAAAGTCTGGAGACATGCCACGTGTCTCTTCCCTATCCAGAGACAGTGCTTTGTCCCCTGGAACAACCCCCCGCCCCCCCCCCCCGCCTTCTTTCCTTCCCCTTGTCCCTTGTCCTCTGTCTCCTGGCTCCATCTTGTGTTACCTTCCTTTGTTCCTCTGGGGCAAATGAATCTCCTTTGTGCTGAGAACCTGGTCTTGGGGTCCTAAGCCGATACTGATCCTTTCACCTATGTATTGCTCTAGAGGACGGCTGTAGTCACAGCCCTCACTCTCTGAGTTCAGCTTTTTCTCTGACCCAAACTGGCTTTTCTGATGGTGCTTTGCTGTCTCCAACACTTTGCCCAAGCAGTCTTCCCACCCTCTGTTCTGTTTCATTAAGTCCCCAGAGTGGCTTAAACTGCCACAGGAGGTGTGTCTCCTGTGTGTCTCCCTTCCTTGTTCAGTAGGTTCCAGCTGTATTGTCCTTTCTCTCTATCATGTACTCCACAGTTCCCACCCCACAGCTCAGGTACCTACAGTTTGCTCCCTAGCCTGGTGTTTTTGCAATCCACCATGACTTTGGGTCAGAGAGTTGTTATTAGGGCCTGGGCTTTGTGTTGGTGGACGTTGAGTTTTCATTCTTGTCTTTATCCACTGCATGCCAGCAGTACCTCACCTGCAGCTATGACAACCTTAGACACATCCGTACATTGCCTAGAGACCTTTGAAGGCAGAATTGCTCATTTGAGAAAATTGCTTTAGATCCTCCCACAGATAATTCTTCTTTGTTATCCAGCTTGAATTTAAGAATTGCTTTTTCACAGAGGTGAGCACCCTATTTTAAATTTCCCATATACACCTTTACCATCATTTGATTTGGCCTTTTTTTTTTTTTGCCTTTTATTGATTTGTTTGCTTTGCTGCCACAAAACATTGCTCTCATTTCAAAGGAAATAGAAATGTGGTGGCACGACTTTTTAATTCCAACATCCAGGAGACAGAGGCAGGCAGAGCTCTGTAAGTTTGAAGCCAGCCTGGTTAACATAAAAAGTTCCAGGACATCCAGAGCCATGGAGAGGGACCATGTCTCAAACAACAGCCACAACATGAAGGAATGAAATAATGTTGTTCATTCTTGAGGCAAATATGACTAACCACAGACTGAGGCAAAGCAGGAGAGATCTCTGTGATAGGTCTCAGATGCTATATGGCGACATTCTTTTTTCTGTTTCTCTTTTTTCTTTTCTTTTTTTGGGGAGGATGGGGGGTGGGGTCAAGACAAGATGTTTCCTTCTGTAACAGAGCTGTGGCTGTCCTGGACTCAATTTGTAGACCAGGCTGACCTCAAACTCATAGAGATCTTCCTGCCTCTACCTTCTGAGTACTGGGATTGAAGGCATGGATCCAAACAGGAATTTGTTTATCTCATGGGAATAAGCTGGTGTCTGTGCTCAAAGGCTTTCATCCTAGCTGAGGAGGCCAAACCCACCAGCAGTTAGGGGTATCCAGTGTGGAACATCCCAAAAGGACTGCCACGGGGCTATGGAAGCTCAGGAAAGGCTTCCTAACCTAGAGCACCCCATCTGCACAGTGAGCATCTGATCCCAGCCTGAACTTAGAGTAGCACAGTGAAGGAGGAGGCCTGCATTCGGGAAGTTGGCAGGAAGAAAATTCTAAGCTATAGGAATAACACATGTAGGGCCTGCAAAGGAGAGGACATTCTTCAGGAACACTGAGCAGGAATGCCGTGAGTGCTGAGGAGGCTGAGCTACAGAAATAAGAGTGGGGATTGAGCTCTGCGCCCCAGGGGACCTCATGAACCAGGATTGTGGGATCTTTGTTTTCACATACCTCCATATTACTCTTTTGTTCATAAATTTATGTTGTCTTAAAAAATAAAGAGCAAATGATAAAAAACCTTCTTGTTATGCTGTGTGTGTGTGTGTGTGTGTACACGCATCTGGGCATGGCACTGCACACTGGGGAGGTCAGAGGACAACTTTTGGGAATGGGTTCTACATTTCCAGTGTGTTTATCAAGGGTCAAGGTTAGGTAGCCAGGCTTGCACAGTGGGTGCTTTACCCTGAGCCGTCTTGCTGGTCCTTAGCACATTGTTTTTTAGGGCGCTGTGCCTAATTCTGTATAGCTACAAAGAGAGGGCCTGGGCTATGGATCGAGTTGGATGAGATAGCTATAAAGTGCAGTGTGATATGCGTGGAGGGTATCTGTGTTTATTTGACAGTATTAAATCCAGGGCCTCCATAGGAAGTAGATGGGTTTTTCTTCAGAGCATGAACTTTGTTGTTTCGCTGGCTTTCCCCGCTTTGTGTCTTGCTTTATGCTTGGACCTCATATTTTCCAGGTCTCCGAAGGCTTCACGTGATAAAGATGTGACTAGCCGTTCCCCTAGACCTCCCAAAGTAAGTCACAGTTTAAAAAGTTGCCTCCTCTACATTTTCTCTTTATTTGTGGGGGATATTTTGCCTTTGATATTATTGTTTCTTAAAAGTTTTTATTTTCTTTTGTATGGTCATTTTGCCTGCATGTATGTGTGCACACCATGTGTGTACCTGGTACCCGCCAAGGCCAGAAGAGGGCCTCCGATCCCCTGGAGCTGGAGTTATAGATGGTTATGAGCTGGGAGTCAGACCTTGGTCTTCTCCCTGAGCTGTCTACCCATCCCCAGTACTATTCTTCATAATAGATGTAGTCGAATGAGGCGGCTGGTCAGAGCGGTCTAGTACTGGGTCCTTACTGTCTGTGAGCTCTGAGCTCACAGCTTCACATGCTACATTGTCTGTAGAGGCCTCAGAGTCATCTGAGAAAGTTTGGAATAGGGGATGGCTTTCTTTCTGTCTATATAGAACATGTTCAGCATTTAAGTAGACAATCTTATAAGCAGAGAACTTGGATTGCTGAGATGTCAGGCTTAAAGTGGGCCTTAAGGTAATCTACTCTGATGACTTCCTTCCTTTAAAAACTCTAATCCATGGTTAGACAGAGATTTTAGATACATAAATGACATCATCATAATGAAATTTATTATTTTATATAACTAAAAATAATAATAAAAAGTTAGATTTTACAGCCAAAAGAAGCATAATCTTTGCCTCTACCATAGGGGAAGTATTCTGATACTTTCTGTCCTGTTCTCTCCCTTCCTTTCTTTTTCTTCCTTTTTGGTTTTGTTTGTTTTTTGTTTTGTGTGGGCTTTTTGTTTTTGTTTTTGTTTTTTGAGGCAGGGTCTCACTATGTACCCTGGCTGGCCTGAACTTACCGTGTAGATCAGGCTGCCCTAGAACCCACAAAGATCTGTCTCTGCCTTCCCAAGTCAGTTCTGATATGCTGGCAAAAGATCTTTTTTCTTGATAACTTTGAAAAAAGTCTTAAATGAGATATGGGCTAGATGATCTGTAGGATCGCCCTGCACCCTAGTGCTGTGTGACTAATCCCAAGGGTGGGAGACATCTACACGCTCTTCTTCTGGGTATCTGTAACTATAGACATGGTGAACTACAGGAAGAAACCTTGGTTACCTGTACTCAGTATATCTCTGCTTCCAGACTTCAGGCCACACCACCTGCAGGGGACCTAAGGGTTTTCAGTGGACTGGTAGAAGGGGTAGTATTCCCATCCTCATGGGAGATAGGTTGGGTTGCCTAAATTCTACACTAATCTCATGGAGAAGCAAGGAAGGCTATTGTTTAAAAAAATCTTCCCCTTGAGAAGTACGTGTATTGGTATCTGCTACAGGAGGGTAGAATACTTTGAAGATAATTTGGGGGATTAGAAATGCCTCTTTTTTCTATTCAATTTTTAAAAATCTTATTTTATTTTACATGTATGAGTTTTTTTGCCTGCATGTGTGTATGTGTACTGTGTGTATGCCTAATGCCTGTAGAGGTCAGAAGAGGGTGCCAAATTCCCTGGAACTGGAGTTATGAATGGTACCATGTAGGTGCAGGGAACCAAACCCAGATTCTCTGCAAGAGCAACACGTACTCCTAACCACTGGGCCATCTCTCCAGTCCCACAAATGTCTCTTTTTTTAAAACATCATTTTCTGAATCACCAGTTTGTTTGGTGAATGTAACAAGGCACTGTTTGGCCAGAGCTTAATTTCAGCAGGAGACTGGGTCTCAGATCCCATTGCTCCTCTGTTTCTAGCTCTCAGTGTTGAATTTGAATGAAGCAGAACTTCCTTTCCCTGAAGATTCCAGAAACATGGTTGTGACCTGGGTTCCAGAAGGAGCAGAGAAGAATATAAGGTGAGCATCTTGTCTAGAACTTAGAGGCCTCAATGCCCGTGCTCCTTAAATCCCTTGTGGTCTTCCGCACACCATTCCCCTTTGTGATCTCCCTCTTAACTACCTCATAAGCAGCAGCATGCCAAACACAGAAAGTGATCACGGCTTGCTTCTGCCGTTTACTACACTGGAGTTCTGTTGTGATGTTCTGTAAGATGCATGCTGTGGGAATTCTCTACTTCAGATTCGATATGGAAGTAAATAGCATAGACAGGGTGGTCCAGTTTGCTTACCACACTTATTTGTTTTACATATACATGTATGCATGTGTGCCATAGCACAAGTATAGTGGTCAGAAGACAGTTTGTTGAAGGTGGTTCTCCTTCTACCATGTGGGATGGGATCCAGAGATCAAACAGGTAGTTGGGCATGACTTTCCACTTCTTTCTTTTTAACATTTATTTACTAAGGGGGTACAAGTATGCCAAGGAGCATATGCAGAAGTCAGAGAATAACTTATGAAAGAAAGTCAGAGGAGAATTTGCAGTAGGTGGTGCTCTCCTTCCTTTCCACCATGTGGATTCCAGGGACCAAAGTCAGCATCAGGCTTGGTGACAGGCACCTTTACCTGGTAAGCCATCTTGCTGTTCTTCCTCCCAAAGCTAAATTTGTTTATGAGGTTTAAAAAATAAGTGTTGGACCCATGAGATGACTTAGCAAGCAAGGACACTTTCTACCCATCCCAATGACCTGAGTTTGATCCCTGGAACACACATGGTAAATTGAGAAAAGTGACCTCAACGAGTCGTTCTCTGACCCCCATTGCATGGTGGCATGTGTAACCTCAGTCCCCTCAATAAATACATGTAAAAAAAGAGACTTTCACTTAAAAAGAAACACATGGAAAACAGCCCTCAGTAAAACATATAAAATTCTGATTTCAACCCCGAGACCTAGGGCATCAATACAGAATGAACAGTATATCAGACTTGGGTCTAAGCAGAAGGGAGGCCCAGAGGCTTGCTAGCATTGACTACTGTAGGAAAAGTGTTGGCTTTTCTTTAACTATCACTGATATTCTAATTCTTTTAATGACTAAGTTAAAACTGTAATAACAAAGCAACCTGCTCATTTTTAGCTACCTCAAGAATTTTTTTCCATTTTCTCTTTGTGCCCAAATAGTCCTTCCTTAAACATGCTTTTGTGTGTGTGCATTACGCTGTCACTTTGTGTGTGTGCATTACACTGTCACCAACCTGAGCCATAGAAATTTGTTTTTTATGTAGGGAGGTGTGAGGAAGGAGCCCCGGGGATAGAATGCTGGCTCTATGAGAGAAGAGAACCTGTAGCTTCCTGCCATCTCCAGGCTGGTCACTTACAGACAGCCTTAGTGTGTCTACTTAAAATTTCTGGGAATGAGTTCTGGTTTTTCTTATTTCAAGACCAGTTCGAAAGACTGCTGTTTCCGCCAGGCCTGAGAAGAAGAGGAGAAAGAAACTGGGAGAGGTAAGTTCCGTGCTTTGTCCCTTATGAAGTGATTCTGTAGGGTTGATGGTTTTCCTCATTCTTTTATATGAATGGACAAACTCCTTTACCCAAAGGGTAAAAGAAACCCTTTCTTTAAGACTAGCTACAGGGCTGGAGAGATGGCTCAGTGGTTAAGAGCACTGACTGCACTTCCAGAGGTCCTGAGTTCAAATCCCAGCAACCACATGGTGGCTCACAACCATCTGTAATGAGATCTGATGCCCTCTTCTGGTGTGTCTGAAGACAGCAACAGTGTATTCATATATAATAAATAAATAAATCTTTAAAAAAAAAAAAAAGACTAGCTACAGATGGCTTCAGATGCCTTCTCTATCTACTCTCTGTAGGACGATAAGGAATACTTAGAAGAGAGGACAGAGAGGAAACACTGGCTATCCAGGGAAGAGTTTTGTCAGCTAATCCCCAGTGTGATGGGGCAGTATTCCAATGGACCAGGGGGTTATTAAGATCTGGGTTCTCAACCCCAAGCCTGCTTTCCTGCTAAATGTGACCTGTGCCCCTCAAAGTGGTTCCTGCTCCATTTCCTTCCTTAACCAATTTCCATGTCAGTTTTCGGTCTGGCATCTAATTAGATGGTTACTGTGGGTTTGTTCAGAGGATAAAGGAGTGGCCTCTCCCGAAAAGCAAATTGATCCTGGCTTGATCTCAATGGAATAGGATGTTAGAAGTCCAGCAAGGGAGAAGTTGGTTGTCCTTCATGATGGAGAGGAGGTAGGGAAATTGAAGGAGGCCTGTGTGTTATTTGTTGTTGCAGTGTCTGTCACCAAAATACCTGAGAGGGAAATTTCACAGAAGAAGAGATTTCTGTCAGCTCACGCAGTTGCTTGGCCTCACCTGCCTGGCAGAATGTTGGGATGGTGGGAGCCTGTGGCAGAGGATGGTCAGGTCTTGATAGACTGGTTGCAGAGAGAAAGGAGTGCAGCAAGCAGCTAGGGAGAGCTGTGGCCTCTAGGGCCACGTGTCCCGATGCCTACTGCTGCCAACCAGGCTCCACTTCCCCTGACTGCTTCCCAGCTATTCTCCATGTTATGAGTCCATTAAAGGGCAATCCACTCCTTACACTCCTGCAAGGGCCAGACACATCCAGAGGGTGCTCCACTAATCTCTTTAACATTTTTATTTATTGTTGTAGTTGTTGTCGTTGTCATCATCATTATAATGAGTGTGTGTGTGTGTGTGTGTGTGTGTGTGTGTGTAAGCACATGTGTGCCATCGTATGGGTATAGACATAAAGGACAACTCTTCGGAGCCGATTCTTTCCTTTCATCATGGGCTCCAGTTTGTGCAGTAAGGGCTGTTTACCATTGAGTCTCACTGCCATTTACCATTTAATCATTTACCATTGAGTCTCACCTCAGTGTTGTTTCCCCTCCCCCCTTCCCCTCTTCCTCTTTCTCCCCCCACTCCTCGCCACCCCCCACTCCCTGCTCACTCCGACCCAAAGGGTATTATTATTATTATGATGATGATGATGATGGAAGCACACTGTTGCTGTCTTCAGACACCCAGAAGAGGGCATCAGATCTCATTTCGGATGGTTGTAAGCCACCATGTGGTTGCTGGGATTTGAACTCATGACTTCCAGAAGAGCAGTCAGTGCTCTTAACCTCTGAACTGTCTCACCAACAAACCCCCCCCCCCCAGTGTTTTTAATTCAATCAAATTGACACTGTCTGGAATCAAGGAGCTTCATTTGTCAGGGTGGAATGTTGGTGGGAAGAAACAGGCTTGACAAGGACGCTTCAGAGAGTCCCTTGCATTGTTTCTCTTCCAGAAAAGCAAGCCATCTCTGTACCCTGGAAGGCAGTGCTCGAAGAGTCCAGCAGTGCTTGTCCCTCCCCCATCTCCAGTACACTTCTTGGATCAATTAAGTTCCGAAAGCATACCACTCTGGGCCCAAGTCGACATGCTTCCCCAGGCTCTCCTGAAGGAGTGGTGAGCATCGTGGAGCCGTGTGGAGAGAGCCAGAACCCTGCTTTTCATTGAAGCCGAGTAAAGGCAAAATGATGTGCTCTGAGAACAGGGAGCCAGCTGTGACCCTGCTTGTTTGTGTCTGCTCACAGGCAGGGTGACAGTCACCACTGCCACCACCATCCAATGCTGACCGACTGCTGGGCTCACACAGAGCACATTATGTGCATTCTCACTTGAAATTCTCTTCTCCTTTTTTTTTCTCACAGATTAATTATAGATGTTTATCCATTTGGGAGACAGAATGGTGTGTGTGGTTTGGAGTGTGACACTTTTGAGTTGTATGTTGAGCCTTAACTGGCTTTGTGAATACTGGTAACTTATTTAGGTCATTTCTGCATAGCCCTCCTCGTTTACACACTGGGGAGGGTGGTAACATCTGCCCCTGGGTGCTAGAAGGGGTTAGTGATTTAAAGTCTAGCATACAGCAAGCCCGTAAGAGACTCAGTCGTGGTCATGCTAGTTGAGCGGGAAATGCATTACCGAGGAAGCCCTTGCAAGGCTTTCTAGAGCCAAAGTGGAAGTGTCTTCAGATGTCAGCCCTTTTTGTCTTTCTCTTTAGCCCCGCTCTCTGGGGAGACATGCTGCTGACTGTCTGGGTGTCTTTGTCCCCTTTAGCATCTTGGAACATGAGAAATCCTTGTCTTACCCTGAGGTGAAGATAGAGTTGTCCAAGATGAGAAAGAGTCTTCCACTGGAAAAAAGCCAACCTGATAGTACTATCTCATCTAAGATGTATCTGACTATCCAACGCCTCACCCTGCAAGTAAGAGCCACTCACCTCAGAGGAGGCCTATGAGAAGATCAAGCCCATCTGTCTTCAAGGCAGAATTGGTTTTCTGTTTATACTTTGTTCTTCCCTGCTACTCTGCCTTGAAGATCTGAGGGCTAGATTGTATGGAAGTAGAAGTCCGTATAGGGAGATGGGCAAGGGGAGGGATGCCTCTGGTTCTTCTGGACTGTTTCTAACTCCTTTTCCTTTGTCCTTGGACATTGGTACAATCCTGCTGCAAAACATCAGTTTCTCAAAACATGTTTACAGACTAGGTAGGTAGATACTGTATTTGGAGCAAAGAAAGATCCACAGAAAGGCTTTTTGTTAATAACCCCCAACCCTGACAGAAACCATCACTGCGGTATCCTGCTCGTCTGAGGAAGCTGCGCTACAGGAAGCGAGGCGAGGGCCTCGCTGGGCATGGATCTTCAGGTACCACCCTCTCTCAACACCACATAGTTCTCTAAGGTCCTGAGGTTCCTGTTCAGAGTTGTTTCCTGCCACAGTCACACAGGTGCATGTGATGAACTCAGGAGACTGCAGTTTGAGAGCAGCTTCTTGCTTGGTCCTGGCCAGGGAAGGAGAGTCACCATAGTGGGGCTGGTTACTGTAGGTAGCCTAGCAGAAGGTGTGGGATGTCAGTCGAGGAGAGGACTAAGCCAGCTTCTTTGGTTACCAGATTCCTTGATGCAGCAGGGGAAGGTGAAAACCTCTAAGAAACAGGTAGAATCATGAGGGAAGCCCTTGGGATGTGGGTGTGGCGTGGGCTGGGAAGGGATACCTAAGAGGAGGGTTCTCCCCTGGCTGCCAGCTGTGGGTATGAGATTGCGCTGACAGTCATTTAAAGTTCTTTGTTTTTGCAAAAGTTTTCTTCACTTCCCAAAGACCTAATTCAGTTCCATCTCATGTTAATTTCATGTTAATTTCGAGAAGAAAGCCAAGAGAAGTGTTTCCGACCAGTATGGTATGTATATGTCTACCTGTGCTTAGTCAAGTAGAATTCTGGGATGTGGTGGAGGGCAGATGTCAAGCATGCCTTATCATTTTGACACTTACTTCTGTCAGGCATTCAGGCTTGTTCTGGGAAAGCTCAGTCTGGCTGGCTGGCCCACCTCAAATCACCCTTTATCTGGATAGTCACTGATCAAGCAGGTTGGGCCATGTACCTCTTCACATGGGCATCTGAGAGAAGACTGACTCATAGTTGGAATTTCTTCAGACCTTGCTTTAGAAAGAACAGAGTGAGGACAGGGTGTAGTGATACATGCCTATACCATACATCACAGGCTGAGGCAGGAGGGTCCATAGACAGATCCTTTTCTCACGAGCCCTCTGGCTTCCACACTAAAAGCTGGTGAGTTCTGAGGTTCAGCTGGCAGTCAACACATTGTATCAACAGTAGCCAATACTCAACAGACAAACTTTTTTTGGTTAGTGTTCATGTTGAAACCTAGAATAGTACATCTCTTTTTGGTATACTGTTTGGCTGACATTTCCCAGCTTGAATGCAGAGTGGGAAGAGCCAAGGAAGACTCACCCTGAATCTTGTTAAGATTGTTCTTCCTTGTTCAGACTGTGTGTTGCTGGCTTTACTCTGTAAACAACAGGATTTTCAGAATTCCCTCTGGAATCTGGGGTCCTGAGTGGAATCAGGCGAGAGGCACCTGAGACCCCTTGCTTTGTGTCACATCTCACTATTGTGAGACGTTAGCCTGAAGGTCTACAAAGGGTGTTGAGCTTCATGTAGGAAGTAGAAGAGGCTGAGGCCCAGGGTAGGAGATTTGTCCAGGGTGAGTTCAGATCCAGAGTGATCACTACCATTTCCACAATTCTATTCTGATACCTCTGTGCTTCTTCTAACAAGAGCTGTCTTGCTTGGGTGACTGGAGTTCCTCTTTGAGTTACAGTCGTGGAGCAGTAGCCTATCTTCTCTGAGTAGAGAAGGGCTTTACAGAAGAGTTGACTTGTCAATTGGCTCTTTAACATATATGGCTTCCTGGTATGGGAAAAGAATTCCCGGAATTGAGAATAGCTTATGAAGAGGCATCTTGGAGGAGTATGGCTGCTTAGTGTAGCTGTTAGTATTTAGGGGTGTGTGTGGAGAGGGGAGAGTCTGCACATGGATCTGGCCTTTATTTCCCAGGGCAGTAGGTCCACCCTGGCTGCACACTGAAGCCAATTGAGAGACTTTTAAAACTCTTTAACAAGCAACCTGAACCCTACATGTTTTAGATTAGAATTTCTGGAATTCAATGTCTGTTAAAGCTTTCCAGTGAGCCGGGCAGTGGTGGCGCATGCCTTTAATCCCAGCACTTGGGAGGCAGAGGCAGGCGGATCTCTGAGTTCGAGAGTTCGAGGCTAGCCTGGTCTACAGAGTGAGTTCCAGGACAGCCAGGGCTACACAGAGAAACCCTGTCTTGAAAAACAAACAAACAAACAAAAAAAAGCTTTCCAGTGCTGCTCGTATGAAGTTTGGATGAGAATCAGGGCTTGTTGGGAGCCAACAGGAAACAGGATGCTTGGAAACTGTCTGTCTAGAGAAAACTGAGAAACGAGAGGTTGGGTTCATTAAGGATGTTGTTGAGAAAACAGCGTGCGTAAAAGAAACAACCGAGGCCCTGTATTAAGAGGCTAATGTGGTCTGCTGGGGTCATCACCAGAGAAGGGCAAATCACATTCTCAAAAGAGGGCTAGTAACAGGTGGAAACAGAGCTAGCAGCTCCTTGATTGCTTTTTGAGACAGGTTCCTACTGTGTAGCCCAAGCTGGCTTAGCACTCACTATATAGGTCAGGTTGAGCTTGAAACCTTGATTCTTCTTTCCTTCCTTCTAAGTGCTAGGATGACAGGAGCCATCCATGTCACTACTGTACCTGA